TCTTCTCTTCTCCTCTTTTCCCTTCTTCCTCCCCTCTCCTTCCCTCTCCTGTTATTTGTTGTCAGGGATTGTTCCATGGATGGGAGAAGGGGGTGGAATGTGGATGAAGGTGATATAAAGGTGGAGGTGATAGGGTCATAGAATGAGCAATGGAGATGACTGTGGGTGTCACTGAGTCAACCCCTCTCATTTTATAGAGGAGAAAAGTGAGACTTGTAGAGGCTTAAGAAACTGGTCCAGTGTCATACAACCAGTAGCTTTGCAAGGCAGAATTTGAACCCACGTTTTCCTAATTTCCAGTGTAGCAATTTATCTATTCCCACCAATCTGCCTCTAAAGGTATTGGTAAAAACTTCAAATGAAGGCTAAGTCTGCATCCGCCTGCATCCGGAAGTCACTGCCAGCTGTCCAGCTGTAACCTTACTGCCATCCACATTCTGGAGAGCATGGCTTCCATGAACCTCTGGGTGCCATAACACCACCCTCTCCACAGTGGCATTGCAGCGAGATCATTCCATAGTAAGGGGAGGCAGTTAGGTGCAAAGGAAAGAATTGCTGGATTCTGAGTCAGAGGAATAGGTCTAAATCTTAGCTCAGGCCTCAGTTTCCCTATCTGTGAAGTTTCCCCTCACCCTCTCAGGATCCTTCTTGCTGCAGATCCCCTGGTGGATGTGTAATTCTGACCCACGACCAAGCAGTGACAATTCTCAGCAAGTGTGTATTTCCTTCCTTCTGTAATCCTTACGATGGGGGTGGCGGCACATTTTCATTAAAGTGATGATGTTTTCCTTTCTGTTACAATTGTGAACTCTTGGCAGGAAGGTCTGGCTTGTTTTAACCCACCTCTTCCAGGATCAATTGCAATGCAATTCACCCTGAGCTAAAGAGAAATACTACTAGCAGACGCTTGGAGCTTATGTAGATCCCATTCTCACAACTACCCAGTGGTGGAGGTAGGCCATTTTATAGATGAACTTGGCCTTCACCATTCTTTGACATCTTTGACATCTAGAATCTGGTCTCTTTGACCTTTTAGGTGTTAAAGGAGTATACTTTGGTGCTGCTGAACCAAATTAAGTGCAATTGGGAAATAGGTAACAATCCAGTCTTGCAAAATAAATAAAAACACAATGGAACATAATGTTAATATGTGGTTTTCTAAGTCAATATGAAGCCTGCAGGGATCCTCGTGTAGAGTTGAGTTGTCTTGTTTCTATTTGAATTTTATCCCACTGGCTCAGAGCACCAAGAGGCAGTGACCTGCTCAGGGTCTCCCAGCCAGTGTGTGCAGAGGAGGGGCTAGAACCCAGGTCCTCCTGACTCTTCATCCACTATGCCAGGCTGCCTCTTACCTTGTCTTTGCTTGTAAATATTTTTAGATTGACTTAGGTCATCATAGGAGCAAGATTTAGAGCTAGAAGCTGGCTTGCTTATTTTACAGGAAAGGAAACTGAGGCGCAGAGAGGTTAAGCAGGTTGCCCAGGCTTGCACAGCATGATTTGGTACCCAGGTCTTTCTCACTCTAAAACTAGTTCTCCATCCACCCTAGCCCAGGGGAATGTAAGCTCCTCAAGGGTCTGTAGCATTTTCTTTTGTTTTTAATGTGCATCCCTGGCCTAATGCTGGCTTATAATAGATACAACTTAGTATAAATGCCTGTTGTAGAATGAGTGAATGGGTGGAGACTGTTGAAGGATTTTTGTCCTGGTTTCAGTTGACCTGGATGGCCTCTGTGGTGTCTTCCAGCTCAGAGAGTCTTTGTTTCTGTGATTGCCTTAATGGCTGTATGACCTTTGACAAGTCATATCTTGGGACCTTATTTTCCTTATCAGTAAGGTTTTCGGGTTGGACTAGATGATCTCTAAGTTCCCTTCTAGCTGTAAATTCAGTGATCTCACCAAACAAGGAATATCTGCATTTTTTAATGTGTAAGGACTGCTGGGGTAGGGGTACCAGGGGGAGGTGGAGGAGGGACGTACTGAGATGGTGGTTGGGGGATTTGAATTGAAGCTTGTTTTGAATTAAATTGAATTAAAACGTTGTTTGAATTAAAGGTTGTTTCTCTTCCCCCTCCCTCACTTTCTCCCTTCCTCTTCTTTCTTTCCTTTTCCCTTCCTCCTTTTCTTCTCCCTTTCCCACTTTCTTTCTTCCTCTGTCCTCTCTTTCCCCCCTCCTTTCCTTTCCCCTGCCTTCCTCCGTAACTTCACTCCCTCCTTTACTTTCTTTCCCTCCTCCCTCCATCTTTTCCTTCCTCCTCCTCCTTCTCTCTCTGTCTCTTTCTCTCTGCCCCCCACTTCCTTTTTCCCTTCCTTCCCTTCCCTCCTCGCTCCCTCTGCCTTTTCCTTCCTCCTCCTCCTCACTTTTCTTTCTCTCTCTCTGTCTGTCTCTGTCTCTCTGTCTCTCCCTCCCCCCTTCCTCTCTTTCAGCTCCCTCTACCAATTCCAGTTGGCCCCTTCGCTGCACACACAACCTGCATGCGTCAGAGGCAGCCCTTGAACCCAGGGCCGGCTGTCTCTCCACTGTTCATGTTACCTCTCTCTAGACTGTCTCTTGATCTCTGTAACAGTCATTGGGCGCGTAGAGTAGACACTTCCTTTCCCTGGGCTTCTTTGTCAATATTTGGCGTTCCTTTTGCTTATCAGTGTCCGCATTCTTCTAATGTCCTCGTCAAGGATCTGTTGATCCCTCCATTCATTCCGGGCCAGGTGTGCCCTTTATAGAGGATGCCTCTTTTGGGGCTCCCTCTGCTGGCCTTCGCCAGGATAGAGCTGAATCAGATTGAAGACTGAAACATTCCTTTTTCTTTGTCCCCAAGTAATCCCAGGAGGTAGAAGAAGCACTTTGGGTGTCCTTTTCTCAGTTGTTCCTGCAAAGTGAAGGACATCAGATAGTTCTGTAAACAGTAGACCCAAACCTTTTCATTCTGACCTGGCCGCTTCTTGGGGTTCAGTGATTAGGTGGTAGCCACTTCCTGTTGGCATGTTTCCTGCTGAGAGGCACGGTGGCTTAGTCGGTGGAGGGCTGGTCTTGGAGTCAGGAAGACCTGCTTTTGAGATGTGACCCTGAGACCTGGCCGTCCAAAACTGGACAAATAATCTAAGTTCTTAGAGTTCCAGGCAGCTCCCTAACAGTGAGTGATAGATGAGTCAGCCAGTCAGTCTTCTTGGGTAGCAGAATGAACACTGGTCCAGACCAGGGGTGGGGAACCTGATGCCTTGAGGCCACATGTGGCTTTCCAGGTCCTTGGGTGCGGCCTTTTGACTAAGTCCAAGTTTTACAGAACAAATCCTTTTATTAAAGGGATTTGCTCTGTGAAGTTTGGATTCAGTCAAAGGGCTGCACTTGAGGACCTAGAGGGCCATGATGCCTTGAGGCCACATGTGGCCTTCCAGGTCCTTGGGTGCGGCCTTTTGACTGAGTCCAAGTTTTACAGAACAAATCCTTTTATTAAAGGGATTTGCTCTGTGAAGTTTGGATTCAGTCAAAGGGCTGCACTTGAGGACCTAGAGGGCCATGTGTGGCCTTGAGGTCACAGATTCCCCACCCCTGGTTCAGACTCTGTGGACCTGGGCTACTTCACCCCCCCCCCCCTTTTAAAATTCATTCTTAGATTCTCCTCTCCAAAAAAAAAAAAGGTACTTCTAAAACATTGCTTTCATTTCCTCAAGGTTGGGTCATTGGATTGTGGAATTTAGAATGAGAAGGCACCATGGTAGGGTAGGAGCGCTGAATTAGGAGTCAGAGCACCCAGGTTTGAATCCTTGCTCTGCCATTTATCAGCTATGTGGACCTCGGGCAAATGACTTCCTCTTGCTGGGCATGTACCCTCATCTGTAAAACGTGGGCATTGACCCCAGAAGTCCCTCCCAGCTCTGAAGCCCAGGCAGTCTTTGAGCCCTGCTGACTCTTAAAATGGAATCTGGCTTTTCATTTTGTTAGGTGATGACTGGGCAAGTCGAGACCTCAAACTGCCGTTGGACTTTCCTTTCAAAACACCCCACCCATACGGAGTAGTGTGTTCAGGTCTGGGCACTGTGTTTTAGGAAGGATGTTGGTAAGCTGGATGTCAGCCAGGATGGTGACGTGCCTCAAGATCATAGGAACGTAACTTTAGAGCAGGAATTGACATTGATTCAAACCCCATCATTTTATAGGTTAGGAAACTGAGGCCCAGAGTGGTTGAGTGAGTCGGCCAAGATCACACAGCTAGTAAGTTTCTGAGGTGTGATTTGAGACCAGTCCTTCCTGACTCCAATTCCTGCTGTCTGTCCAATTCATCGTTCCTCTTTTTTTTTTTTTTTTTTTTGCTTTTTGGTGAGGCAGTCGGGGTTAAGTGACTTGCTCAGGGTCACACAGCTAGTAAGGGTCAAGTGTCTGAGGCTGGATTTGAACTCAGGTCCCTCCTTTTGTCTCTTGAAGGAAGTAGGGATATTCATCCTGAAGAAAGACTTAGAGGAGGCTTGAATGTTTGAAGGTTTGTCCTGTGAAATAGGGGTTAAACTCGTGATGTTTGGGCACCATGGGGGCAGAACCAGGAACAAGGGTTACAGATTGCCAAGAGACAGCTAGAGGGTTGATGCCCCTAACTTGGTAATCATGAGAGCTGTCTGTAAGTGGAATGGGCCGCCTCAGGAGGCGGGGAGTTTTCTGTCCATGAAGGGCTCCAGCAGGGCCCAGAAGACCTCATGTGGGTATGACGTAGAGGGATTCTTGCTCATGGAGGGTTTGGACTAAGTGGCTTCCAAAAATTCCTTCCCTCTCTGAGATTCCTGGATTCTGATAGCATCAAACAAGTTGGAGGCATCATCAAACAGCAGTAAGAGCTGTATCAAATGTCCCGCTGAGTTGACGTGGTGTCTCTTGCCTTGTTTTTCCATTTCATTAGGTGATCCATGTACCATATCTTCTCAGATGGAACTGGAAGAAGCTTTTCGCCTGTACTGTCGACACAGAGATGAAGGACTCATCATTCATGGCAAGTAGCTGGAAATGAAACTTCCTGGCCTCTCTCCCAGGGCATTCTTTGGAGAATGGTTTAACTGGGGCTCGTCTCTTTGACTCAGGCTGACCCTTGGCCGCAGGAAATTATTGCGTAGGTTCTAAATGCTGGCCAAGGTGGGTGGTTTGTTTTTCAGTTCAGATATATTATCCCACCATTTATTCTTTGCAATTATGCTTCCCAGCATGGAGAAGCTAATGATCACTCTTGCCCTCAGTGGCCCTTTTCACAACTCTTAGGGGATGGGGAATATCCACAGATGCTTATTATAACATTATCACTTTAATCTAAGCTCACTCTAGTCCAATTGTACTCCAAGTATTGTACAAGGCGTGGGGGAAACAGAGACAGAAGAGAGACAGATCCTGCCCTCAGGGAGCTTACATTCTCCATAACTCTAAACTGCTATTAATTTGATCATTAACTATTGGGGACATTTAGGATAAGGAGATATTTTCTCCTTGAGGAATATTACTTTTTTCCCCCTAACTTCATTGTTCTCATTTCCATCCTTTGAAAATCTCTCTAAATGTCTCATTTAATGATGAACAAATTCCCCCCTGGTCACACTCTCCATATCCCAGTAGTTCACCATTCAAACCCATTCTCCATCTTGTTCAGTCGTGTCTGACTCTCCATGACCCAATTTGGGGTTTTCTTGGCAGAGATACTGGAGTGTTTTGCCATTTCCTCCTCCAGCTCATTTTGCAGATGAGGAAACTGAGGCAAACAGGATGAAGTGACTTGCCTAGAGCCATACATCTAGTAAGTGTCTGAGGTCAGATTTGAGCTCGGGTCTTCCTGACTCCAGGCCTGCACCACCTAGCTGCCCCATCTCCCACTACCAGTTAGATTCCTTATTTCTACTGTCCTCAATCCATCCCACCCCCGAAGTCTCAGTCAAATGCTACTCATCCCTTGACAGTTCCCTCGGGGATACCTGCTCCATAGGCAACAAACTTGCTTTCATCTTAAATCTTTTCCTTTCCCATTCCTTCCATTTTGTAGCTGTCACTGAGACCTGATGACACAACCTCCTTGGCCACCCTTTACAGCACTGACTGCATTTTCATTCCATTGCACTCACTGGTTGAGGCAGGTGACTTGGAATACTCCTTCCTCTCCATTGCCTCTTCCCGGTTCTCCTTTCACCACCATCACTTGATTACTTCTCCTCCTTTTGAGGTTCATGCAATCCACTCTACCATTCAGTCAAAATTCTGGTAGATGTTGCCTGCAAACTTCCTGTATGTTCCCCTTCCTTCCTCAATGAGTTCAGTACCTGGCTCAGCTTTCTCTCCTCCCCAAAACCTGCTCTCATACTGGGGCATTTCAACCTACATATTGAGACTCCTTTGAATACCCTAACCTCTCAGTTCCTCAACCTACTTGTTTTTCATGACCTTACTTCTCTGCCCAACTCAACCACACACAAAGATGGTCATACCCTTGATTTCATCATCACCTAAAAATATACCACCTCCATGTTCATGAACTTGGAAGTTCCCTTATCTGACTAAATCTATTTGACTTTCCACTTCTCCTTCTGCCTTTTCTTGCCTAACCCTGTTCTTTGTCCACCCTGTGACCTCATTCCTCAACTCCCTCACCTCTTCCAAGGTTATTGCCTCTGTACTAGCCACTCTCTCTTCTTTTCCCCATGTTGGTGAATTTGGTGAACCAGTTGAACTCAACATTTTCCTCTTCTCTTGAGGCCCTAGCCCCCTTATCATATTGCTCACTGTGTCCTGCCATGCCTCAGTCTTGGTTTACTCCCACTGTCCACTGCCTTCCTTTCTACACACATGCTGTTCACCAAAGGTGAAGAATGCCATGCAACTGTTCTGCCTGGATCCATTAGCGATTTATGTTATATAACCCCTACTGGGCCCTCTCTGCCGCTGGGCAATCCTGTTATTCTTCCCTTATCAACTCACTATCCCACTCTCCACAGCAGCTCTTCCAAATCTTTTCATCCCTTTTCAAACCTCCCAGCTAGGTGGTACAGTGGATAGTCAGGAAGACCTGAGTTCAAATCTGCCCTCAGACACTTAGTGGTTGTATAACCCTGGGCTAGCTACTTAATCCTGTTTGCCTCAGTTTCCTCATCTGTCAAATGAGCTTGAGAAGGAAATGATAAGCCACTCCAGTACCTTTGCTACGATACCCAAATGGGGTCTTAGAGAGTTGGACACAACTGAAATGACTGAACAACAATAAACCTAAGAAGCTTGTCTCATATTTTACTAAAAAAGTCGAGGCCACTTGCCGTGAGCTCCTTCTTCGCCCCTTCTCATCCAAATTCACTCCTATGCCTTCTTCCACTATTTCCTCCTTGACCTCCGTCCCATACCCCTTCTCCTTACGAGGGCCAACCCCTCTATCTCCCTTGTATCCTGTGTTCTCCAACAAACTGCTCCTCTGTCATACGTACTTATCTTCAATCTCTGCCCGCCAGTCTGCTGCTTACAAACAGAACCATGTCTCCCAAGCCCTGGAAAAACAAAAACAAAAACAACCCTCACCTGCGATGTCCCACGAACTATCACCCTATATCTTTGCTGCCTTTTGTGGCTAAACTCTTTGGGAAGACCATCTGCAATGGGTGCCTTTACATCTTCTCTTTTCACTTTCTTCTTAACTGTCTACAGTGTAGACTTTTGACCTCATTATTCCACCCAAACTCCTCTCTCCAAAGTTACAAGTAATCTCTTCATTGCCTCACTAATGACCTTTCTCAGTCCTCATTCCCCTTGACCCCTCTACACCATTGACACTGGTGATCACTCTCTTCTCTATAGGTTTTCAGGACATTCATCTCTCCTGGTTCTCCTCCTCCCAATCAGACCACTCCTTCTCAGTCTCCCCTAATGGATATTCATCCAAGTCATACCTGCCAGCTGTGGGCATCCCACAAAGTTGTCTATCCTGGGCCCTCTTCTGCTTCTGTACTCTTTCACTTGGCAATCTCATTAGTTACCATGGATTCAATGATCATCTCTATGCTAATGATTTACAAACCGATTTATCCAGCCCTAACCTCTACTGACCTCTAATCTTGTGTCTTCCACTGCCTACGACGTCCAGTTGACATCTTAAACCCAACATGTCCAAGACTGAACTCTTTTCCCCTCTACATCCTGTTACCACCTTTCTTATTACTGTAGAAGGCAACACCATCTTCCCAGTCCTTTGGACGTACAACCTGGGAATCATCCTGGATTCTTCCCTCTCTCCCCCCCTTCCCCCATAACCAGTCTATTGCTTTCCAGCCGCCTTCTTTCCTCTGATACTGCCCCCTCCCCCTCCTTCCAGTGCAGCCCCTCACTCTTGGATTATTGCAGTAGGCTGCTGGTGGGTCTGCCTGCCTTAAATCTGTACCCTCTCCACTTCATCCACAATTCAGCTGCTAAAGTGCTTTTCCTAAAGCACAAATCTGATCATGTCACACCCCCCACCCCCCATTCAGTAAACTCCAGTGGCTTCCTATTGTCTCTAAGATCAAACAGAAATATCTTGTCTTTGGTGTTTAAAACCCTTCATAACCAAGCCCTCCTCTTTCTACCTTTTTGTCCCGCCTCCTCCCCTCCCCAGTGCATTCTTTGATCCAGTGCCCTTGGCCTCCTGGTTGGTCCTCAGACAAGAGACTCCATCTCTTGGCTTCGGGTCTTTTCTTTGGCCACCTCCAAAGCCTGCCATGCTCTTCCTCCTCATTCTCTACCTCCCGGCTTCCTTCAAGTCCCAGCTGAAATCCCATCTTCCGTAGGATGCATTTCCTGACCCTACTTCGATCTAGTGCCTTCTGTCCATTGATCGCTCCTTCTTTATCCTGTATATCTCATGTTGGCACCTAGTTCACTTATTGTCTCCTCCATCACAGTGTGAGCACCTCAAGGGTAGGGTCTATAACCCCAGCACCTAACATAGTACCTGGTACATAGTAGGTACATAATAAATGCTTATTGACTGACTGAGTGATAGAGATACTTAGATTTCTTTAGTTTACACATCCTCTCAGCTTTTCAGGTTTGGAGATGGGTTGTGGATTCTGGTGATGCAAAGCATAGGAGTATTGTCTTCAAATTTATCCTTTTTATCCCTGCTTCTCAGCCTGTAATCCAGAATTCTCTCAGCTTCACACGCCATCCCTGTGGCCTCTGTGAAGAAAAGTGTGGCAGTGGCCAAGATATTTTGTATTTCTAACTCCCTGATCATGCCATTTCCCCTTTGGACCTTCTCTTTGGGAAGGAGAAGGCAGAAGGGATTCTAACATCTCAGAGTTCTGAATCTTCTACTTGGTAAAAAAATTCTTTTTTTTTGATGAGTGAGTAATCCATCTGATTTATGAGAAAACATGACAGAAGATTCAGACAGAGATGGGCAGGCATGGGTGGGTTGGAAGAGATCACAGATTCCTTGGGGGGTATTTGAATAATCCATTTTAAGGGTGTTATGTAAGCAAATGGCAAATTTATCCCAGATGATGGAGATGATTTGGAAAAAAAGAATTTTATTAAATGCTTTTTAAATAAATGAATTTATGAACATTTTAAGGATTAATCCCGGAATCTCTGGATAGATTTTAGAATACTGTATCTTGATCTTTTATAACCCAATTTCTTGTTACTTCTTCCCTCCCTTAAATCTTGTCTTACTGTGTTTTTGAGACCTTTAACTGTGTAATTTAGGGCACATGTGCGTAAGATGTACGCAGGTTATCCAGAATTTGACTTTAAAAGCCTTTCTAGAGTGACTTGTTTCTCATCAGAACACTCTTTAGAAATACTTGAGCATTCAAATTGCATGCAGATTATTCAGAGGGAGGGCTCGTCTCTTCAAGGCACTAACTCCTTTTTCTTTGTCTGTGTTCAGTTTTTCCGAGCATCCCAGAGAAGCCAGGAATGCCCTGCCCAGGAGAAGACAGTGAGTACTCAAAAACTTCCTAGCATTTTGATGGAGGGCATTGAACTTTCTGGAGAGTTGAACTGAATGGCTTTAGAGGGATGTGTTTGATACCAAAGTTGTTGTAGCTGTATCGGGGTAAATCTGGTCTAGTTATAAAAGATGTCAGGTGGCATGATGTTGTGGAAATAGAATGTTCTCCAGGAATGATGTTCAAATTTCAACCCTGATGCTTTCTAGCCATGTGACCCTGGGCAAGTCACTTACATTCCCTGCATCTCAGTTACCTCCTCTAAAAAACAAGGGTTAATAGTCCCAGTGTTATCTCCCTCCCAGGGGTGTTGTGAGTCTCAAATGAGATAATGTTTGTCAAATGCTTTGCCAGCTGGAAGCTGTATAGAAATGTCACCTCTTATTGTTGATAAGTATTCTGTGACCTTGTGAAAAAAGGGAAAATTGAAGTCTCCAGACGGACGGTGAATACAGATTGCATTTTCAGTATAATCGCTTTTCTTCCCATCCTGCTTTTTCTTGTTTTGGTTTCTTGGATTGGGATCCTCTGTCTTTTAATTGGTTAGTCAGTGGCATGATGAGAAATCTCAGATGAGCCCCCTCTGCCCTGGGTGGTTGGAAGGGCCGGGCAGCCGTAGGTGGCCTCACCTCTGCCCTCCTGGCTTCTTTCACTCAGCCCACCCTACTGCCATGGGCTGTTCATTTGGTTTGGTTTCACTACAATATGTGGCCTCTAGGGGCACCATTATTTTTACCCCCAAAAAAGCGACTTGTTTTATTAAAATAGTTTATACATTAATACTTTAGTACAACCAACCTAAACTTGCTTAATACCTATGTCCATTTAAATCAATTTAATTTCATTAAAGTACCATCACTCCTTACTCTTTCCTACACATCCCTCATCCAAATTCTTTACTTAGCTATTCATTCTCATTTGCTTTTACCCTTATGTAATATGAATTAATGTGTGCTCTCAACACCTAAGCCACTAGATGATGTGGTGGAGAGAGAGCTGGACCAGGAGTCTGAAGAATCTGAGTTCAAATTCAGCCTCAAACATTTAGCGGCTTGTGTGACTATCTTTCTGTCTCCCCAAGCTTAACTTGCGTAGAGCCTGGCATATAGTAAGTGCTTCATAAATACTTGTTGACCAATTGACTCTAGGCAAGTTACCTCTGTCTGTTTCAGTTTGCTCATCCATGAAATGCAGATAATCGTGGCACCCACCTCCCAGGATTGTTGGGGGGATCAAATGAGATAGTATATCTAAAGGGTTTTCCAGATCTAAAAGCATGATGATAATGGTCATGATGGTTCAGTCATTTTTGCTTTGCGTTATTTCATAAAGGTATTTCTAGGCACTACAGTACTCTATTATGTGAATGTCTCATAATTTATTTGACTATTTCCTTACTGGATATCTGGGTTACCTCTGTTAGTTTGCATTTTATTTAGCACTCCCATGGACACTTTTTTTTTGTAACAGATAGTTCTTTAGAAGAAAAAGAATGTACTCATTTCTAGGTATTTGGGGATGGCATCATCCTGATTGTACAGTGCTCTGGAAGGTTGGAAGAAGAAGGTCCCCCAAATGTCTTTTGAGACTTTGCCATATAATGATTGGTTCAAAGAACAAGCAAAGAGAAGGCTCGGAGGTGTTAGCTGTCCTTTGAGATCTGTGGTCACTCTAAGAGAAATTGGTATAATAGTCCACACTTAGAAAAACAAGTAGATGAAAAATGTGTGTTGCCCAGATACTGACATGCAGTTGAATGGGAAATGTGTTGGTTAGTTCATCAGAGCACATGATAGCTGAATGAATGAATGAAAAAGAACTTATTAAATGCTAACTTTGGGCCAGGCTGTGAGCCAAGAAGCAAGACCTGCCCTCACGGAGCTTATATTCTAATGTTGTTGATTAATTGTTTAGTCACGTCTGATTGTTGGTGACCCCATTTGGGGTTTTCTTGGCAAAGATCCTGGAGTGATTTGTCATTTCTTTCTGCAGCTCATTTTACGAATGAGGAAACTGGGACAAACAGTGTGAAGTGACTTGCTCAGGGTCACACAGCTAGTAAATGTCTGAGGTCAGATTTGAACTCAGGAAGAGTTCATTCTATGCAGCACTCTGTACACTGCGCCACCTAGCTGCCCCAGTAATGGTGGTGTTGTTTAGTCATTTCTGACCTTTTGGGGATTTTCTCTGCAAAAATATATATATATATATATACACATATATATTTTGGCTAGGCAATGGGGTTAAGTGACTTGCACAGGGTCACATAGCTAGTAAGCGTTATGTGTCTGACGTCGGATTTGAACTGAGGTCCTCCTGAATCCAGGGCCGGTGCTCTATCCACTGCACCACTTAGCTGCCCCCCAAAAATATATTCTAACAGGGGAAGACAATACCACTGATTGGGGAATGGTAGCCAGGGAGAAGTGCTTTGGATAGAGAATGAAGAGGGAATGATTTGAGTCAGAAGGCATTTAATTGACTTGCCCTTTCCAGGAGTGATGTTCCTGATCTGATTGCTGTTTCCAGAGCTAACTCTCTTAAAGTAAACCTGAAAAGATAGCTTGCGGAGGGGCCTTAGAGATGTTCTGTTCAGCCCCAGCTGCCACAGCTTTGGAACAGTGGGTGGAAGTTGTAGAGATTTAGCATGATATCAGGGAAGACTTCCAAACAATTAGTTATCCAAAAGTGGAATGGGGCTGCTAGGTGGTGCCATTGTGGATAGAGTGCTGGGCCTGGAGTCAGGAAGAATCATCTTCCTAAGTTCAAATCTGGCCTCAGACACTTACTAGTTGTGTGACCCTGGGCAAGTCACTTCACTCTGTTTGCCTCAGTTTCCTCACCTGCAAAATGAGCTGGAGAAGGAAATGGCAAACCACTCCAGTCCCTCTGCCGAGAAAATCCCAAATGGGGACACAAATAGTGGGGCATGACTGAAAAATGACTGAATGTGAAAAGTGGAATGAGGTGCTTTTGGAGGTAGTGGGTCTGCCCCTCATGGGAGGGCTTCAAGCCAAGACTGCAAGACAACTTGTTTTGGGTGCGTTGCAGTAGGGACTCTCTTTGGGTATGGGCTGGAGTAAACCAATGAGATGTCTTCCAACTCTGGAATTCTAGGATTCGGGAGTATAGCAGGGCCTTCATGAGAACCAGAGCCACCCAAAGTCACTGGCCTAATATTCCTCAAGGGAAAAACCGAATGGACAAAGAATGTGTGTTCCCAGATTTGGATGTGGAGTTGAGTGGGAATTCTGTTGCGTTAGTTCATCGGTGCGTGTCTTTTGGATATGTCCTATCAATGGACAAAACACTGTGACCATTAATGACTCAGAGAAACATGACAGGCTGGGTCTTCTTTGGGAAATCAGGCGTTCTTGAATGATTCCTTGCCACTTGATGTCACAAAAACGTATCTATTTAAGTCCTGCATTCTCTTGGTGATGCTAAATTGCTGTGATTCATTGAACCTGATGATCTGAGAAGAAGCAGAATTGCAGGTGACTCAAAGGGTAATGGTGGGTGTCAGTGAACTACCTCGCGTTACCCACAGGGATATGCATGAGAAGGGATGCAGGAGGCACCATGAAGAGGATGGGTAAATGGAATTGAATTGAAAAAATGTGGAGCTGTGGGAACCCCTTAAGGTCTAGAAATGTCCAGAGGGCTCAGGGTTGGGCTGGGTGGTTGGTGAGCCAGACTGGCAGTGCCAGTCATCCACCTATATTGTCAGTGGCAGCCCCGACGCCCTGCCACCATCTTACTGTGGAAAAGCGGCGCATCACTTGGTGGCCCTTGGGAACGTTCCCTGGCCAGTTTGACTTTTCTTGTCTTGTCTTTGTATCAGTCTTACCAAGTGCCCCTCTGCTCTGAGACAGTTCAAGCCTATGTAACATAGAATGGATGAGGTCACATTCCTTACTGCTTGCTTGATGTCACCTTTGTCCAGATTTCAAAGCTATTTAGGATCATAGGTCATGGAATCATAGATTTAGAGCAGGGACTCAGAAATCATTTACAAATGAGGAGACAGAGTAAGGGAGGGGAAATGTTCATGAGATTGTAGATTTAGAGCTGGAAAGGACCCTTTGATCCAACCCCCTTATTTTATGCATGCCAAAACTGAGGACCAGAGAGGTTATATATCTTGCCCAAGGTCATGCAGGTCATAGATTTAGAGCTAGAGGGCACCTTTAAGGCCCTTGAGCCCAAGTCCTTCATTTTATAGATGAGGAAACGGAGGCCCAGAGGGGTCATCCAACTAGTAAGATTGAGGGAGGACTCGATCCCAGATCTTCAGGGTTCCAAGTCCAGTATTTCTTTACTATATAAGTCGATACACACATTTAGGAGGAAGGTGGAAAGGGTCAAGGTTGTGCACCTTTTATGAAAAATGTCCAAAGAGAATGGATACCAAAGGACAGTAGTACCATAGTGGTGGGGAAAGTTTTCATATCAAACAATGTTCAGTCCGGGTGTTGGGTTGGGGGAAGGTGGGGAGAGGTTCAGTGGAAAGAACACTGTCCTGGAGTCAGAATTCCTGGGTTCAAAACCCACCTTGGATGCTTCCCGTTCCTGAAGTGACTCTGGGCAGGTCATTTCACTTCCACGATGCTCTGTTTCCTCATCTGTAAGATGAGGGATTGGTTAAAACAGCCTCTTAAGGTCTGTTCCTTTCAGTTCTAGATCTGTGCTATCAGGCTAATAGATGAACAACCCCCTAGGTCTGTGTCCGTCGAACTATGGGAAGACATGGGTAACAATCCCATAGGATTAGAACAGTTAGGTGGGCTGGGAACTGTTCCAGGGCAGGAAAACTCCCATTAATGAGATCACGGATTCCTTCTCTCCCCAGCCTCCTGCCCCCAAGATCTTAGCTCATTGGCAGAGAAAAGATGAAGATGACAGTATCACTGCTTGACAATTACAAAGTGTAACTTGATGGTGGGGCATCCAGATGTCCGTGCGTGGTGCTTAGAGGTTCAGCTACAGA